TAATGTAAAGTTTTACTGGAAGTGACTTGTACCTTTCCAAAATATCAAAAGCACCTGCTTAAATCTTGAGGGACTTAAATCTTGGACCCATGCATGTCTCTTTTGGTCTTATGTTCTTCTCAAAACCAGGAAATAGCAAATTAAGGCACACCTGCTTTATCTTTGGCCCTTGAGTTACCCAGTACCATTGGAGACGTACTTGCACACCATATACCCCAAATAACATACGCACCTTGTTTTGGGAAGGCACAAGAAAGAAAAAATGATTTTTTTCCATAGTCATGTCTGAATGCAAAGACAAAGTCAACTACCCAGTGTCACTCACTTTCTCCTTTCAGCTAAAGCTTTAACTCTGTCACAGCTGCTGCCAAATTGGTAGCAACTTTTGCAGTCCCTGCTGAATTGGCACCAGCTTTTGTCTGAGCAGCTGTGACAGGGTTAAAGCTCCATCTGGAAGATGTGAGTGACACTGAGGCTTTACCTTTCCTGGATGTCTGGCACACAGACAGTTCCTGGCAGCCATGACCGTGTCACCATGCCTTCATTCCAGCATGGAAATCATCTTCACCTAAAACATGCACTTCAATTTGGGAGAGCTATTTTTGGGGAAAGGGTGTGTGTGGTATGCGAGTAAATACTCTAAGAATATATAAGCAAGTCACTCTACAGTAGGCAGGCACGGGCCATGACTAAAAAAACTCACTATTTTCTCTGGTGGGATTTGTATTCTTGCATTGGTCTCCAAGCAATCCAACTGCCCTTTACCATGTTATGGACAGTTGAATTGACTGGTGCAGTGATTATTTGCAACAGGTTGCCAGGATCTGAGAAGCACAGACACGCTCCACTTCCATCAGTTAGGCGAAGTATAGCTATACAATAGTCTGTGCTTGCTCTTGGGAGTTGCCTGATGCTCTGGAAGCATATATGACAGTGCACTGCAGATGTTGTTCTACAGGGGATCCTTAGGGCAAAGCTCAAGGAGTAGTAACCTTCAGCAACTTGTGCAGGTGAGGGTAAGCACAGCTGGTGATGTGTTTGTAGGTAGGCCTGGGGAATCTGGCCCTAAATGTAGCTTTTGAGGGCATGGGTTTCTTTTCACCTGTGTCAATGTGCTGTATCCTGCAGTTGTCCCACCGCATCATTGGGAGCAACAAAGTGCTATGAAAAGCTAACGGGCAAGGTAGGGCATCACTCAAAGAAAACACAAGGTTGTGAGGCAAAGCGTATGTGCACTTTAAATTCTGTTAAAATTGGAGCATGCAGGGGACCACAGCTGTTGCAAGGAGTTTTGAAAGAGTTACTTGCATTTCCCAGAAGGGAAAGCCATGGCAAAACCTCCCCCTTGAAAGAGGCTAGTGCTACCCCAAACATTCAAATAAGCTGAAAATATTGAGGAAGTTCCTAATTGTGCTAGTTGGTTTGGGGGTGGTCTTGTCGTAAAGCTACTGCCTCTCCAGTGAAAAAATCAACTGAGACCAACAGACGGCAGCTGAAGGACTGAAACACCCAGTAGAGCATGCCATACAGTCAGTCAGCATGAACGTGAGTGAAGCAATGTATACATCAGGATATTAATGATAATAGCCCCAGATCCCAACTACAAAGCACTTGTATGTGATTTCTGTATCTATGGAAAATGTTTATGGATCGCTTGATTCCAAATGATATATTTCTTCATTTGTTGCACTGAAAATATATCTCAGGCCTGGAGTTAATTTTCTTTTAAAATGTCTGATCACATAATCCCTCGGAACAAAACAAAAGGTGGGCAATTCTTGCACATGATGTGGTGTAATCCCCTATTTGTTGGCCATTTCTGTATTCTAATGCTGTAGGTAGAAAATGATAACATGATTTGCTATAGCATAACAATGTATACTATAAATTACATATTATACACACAGACCTAGAGAAGAAATTGAATTAATAGTCATAAAGCGCAAAAGACACATACTGTAGTAATGTATGGTTCTTTAACCCTTGTATCCTGGCCAAATTTACATTGGAATAATTATATTCTGCCTAGTTTAAATCTTCCTTGCATTTTATTTGGACATGGTTTTCATTGTCTCTTCCTATTCTAAACTACTGAAAAGTCTTCTGTGTCTCTGCTCTTCTGCCTTCTGTGTCACCAATTTGTCTCCTTTTTTGGCCTTCCTGGTTTTCATATTACTGCCCTCAGTCTTATCAACATGCAGCAACTAGCATGATCTGCCATGTCTTCTGCTTTCGTGCCACAGCTGTGTATCCCCAACCCCCACACTTAAATTCTTTCATTCAACTGTCCTTTCAAGACATTGTCTTCCCAACTCCTCTCTGACTTATGCCTTGCCATCTCTTCTTACCTTGACATATCCTAGCCCTCTCTTCCTTGAGCTGCTCTGCAGCTTTTCTTGCACTTTTTGCTATGCCAATAAAACCTCTTTGACGTTGTATACCCTGCAGCCTTCTTCAGGCCTGTCCTCCAGATTCCCAGCTAGGGAGCCTTTCAGCCCTGACCAAAAGCAATTCATAATCATTACTTTAAATCATTACTTGCATAAGCATCACAGATGAATATACCTAAAAACTGCAAAAGCCTTTGAAAAATATCATCAGGCTACACTAATCAATAATGCTTGGTTCATGATAATGTCCCATCCTTCATCCTACCCACTATACCCAGATTGCTCCTTTGTCCTTGTTTTCCAGCAGCAAATGTAAGCACGTTGGGGAAGTATCTTGTCTTTGCTTTTAAATATACACCCAAGTTGCTTTAGAAATGATCATTCAAAACAAACCTCACTGCATTTCTTATTAGTCCAAGTCATAACCAGTCTCATTCAACAAGGGCTAAACTAAGCTAAAGGTGTGAGCTAGAATTATGATCCTCAGTGTCAGGCCTTATCTGAATGCAGTAGCAAACAATTCAAATCCCACAAAGTCTCTGCTAAATTTCTGCTGTCTTTGCTTCCCCCCCCCCCTTCTCTTAGTAGCTGTCATTTGGGTTTATTGGAATCAAGCTGCAGCTAACTTCTACTCATTCAAAAATGTAATGAGCAAAACTGTAACCTGACTTATAGTCTGTGCAACTCCACTGAGGTCAAGATGTTCACCTCCAGTGGAGATGGAAATATTGTAATTCAGAACAGAATTAGGCCTGATGTTTATTCTTCCTCAGATAGAAATGCTGCTCTTACAGCTCAGTCTGAAATCCATCATCATCTGGTTTTTACAGCACCTGCTTTCTTTCTTGTTTGGAATTAGGTTTTTGACCGCAAGACAGGAGCAGGATTTACTGATGCATTTAGCCCCTGTTCTCAGTAATCAGTTGATAAGAAGAATCCAAGCTTCAGTTGGATTTGGTCCTCAATAGTCCATTAAGAAATGGGTTTTGACCAGTTGAATGCTGAGATATTTAGCAGAGGATTTATGTGGTACATTATGTTACTTCTGATTTCCGTTGGAGTACTGGCATAACCACTTGAGGCATGATTTATGTATGCAATCTAGTACAGAATTGAGGGGATATGGAAAATGTTACGTTTTGTATGCCAGAAGAAACAAGTTGAGGTAAGACTTTTCGATGGTTTCACCTCCTTTCCGCAAGTACAACTTGTGAAATCAAAAAGCTTAAATCCACTTCTAGTTATTTGTGCTAAGAACACATTGTGATTTTGTCCCAGGGCAGAAAAGTCCTGGAATTGGCATGTACACATATCACCCTTTTATTAGGATTTAGTGAGTGGCTAAATTTGCTGATGCTTTTCTGCCATTGATTCAATCCCAGGGCAACCATTCAGATGTACCCCACAGTGTCCTGTGACAAACTGTTAGCAATTCATATCCAGTGAACCTTTTCAGGGTTTGTCCTGGGACAACAGACATAGAAGTCTGAATGGTCATGCTTTGTCCTGAGATAAAAGGATGACTTCTGGGACAAACACAACATCTCTAGCCCTGACTGTTTGTGGAAATGAGTTAGTTCAATGTGTTACAATTCATTTGTAGGTACAAAAACAATACGTGTTTTTATTTGGCTGATACCAGTTTTCCATCACATCAGGGTAGCTTGTCATTCCACAGGGTCTATATTGTTAGAAAATTTTTTAAACCTTCCCATTGTGCTATTAATTATAGTTTGCATTGTTATAGCTATTTCCAACAAAGCATCTCAAAGTTTTTAACAAATATTAAGGAATATTAGGAGGTAGACAAACACTATTTACTTCCATTTTACAAAAAAGCAAATGGTGGCATAGAAACTGGGAACACCTATTTCATGATTTTCAAGTCTACCCTTTATCCACAAGGCAATCCTCCTTCTCCTTTCCTGATATTTTCTAAAGACACTGAACAAGTTTATCGTTTTGCAATGAATGCATGTTTGTGACCATAGCTACAAATGATTTATACAAAGAACAGTAATACCAAAGACAGTGATACAGACTATAGGGCTTAACCTTTGCTTAGAGTCCATACTTTCAAAGATCAGTCACTTTGAGTAATCTAATCAACTTGCCTTTTTGGCATATAGAATCTTGCACTCGGAGAAGGATATGTCTTTGAAAAAGTGGTTAATGGAATTCTCTCTGGAAAAAGGTGGTGGAAAAGCAGGTGAAATGACAGCATTTAAGGAAGAAAAGTCCATCACTTTTGAAATGTTTATTTTGTTTCAAGGAAACCTTCCCTATAGCTTCTTTTTAATCCCTGAATTAAAGAATGAAAGTAGGTAAGTTTAGATACAGTTCTACTGCTAAAACCTTTGCTGATATCATTGGCATGTCCTTATTGTACAGGTGTATTTGATTTGTCCACATTGTCTTCTGCAGCAATGATTCACAGGTATTCAAAGAGGGAAAAAACCAAAATTGAAGCTGTGGTTTAAACTGCATCTGAGAGACAGGCACTTACACTTATCCTAGAAGCCACTACAGTCTGTAAGGCCTATTGCTGATTACAAAGGCTGAAATTTCCAGTGCAAACAAAATTGTCCTTGGACCAAAACAGTGGCAAATGGCACCAATTTACTCAAATATTAAAAAACTCTAAAGTTATTTGATTAAATGAAAAAAAATCACAGGCCTAAAAGTCATTGCAGCTTTCAAATGAATGTTCCTTGGTTTCAATAACAAAATGAATAATGATTTCCAATATATTTACAATATTCCAGTTTGACCAGAAGCTATTCCAGTACGTAGCACAGAGGACTGTTTCCTTCTAAATCAGTCTTTCCATCGGTGGCGGCTGCACCATGTTCCACATTTCCACCCGAGATCCTTCCTTCTCCTGCCGGCTGGGGCTGTAGGGCCCTTGAGTTGCCCGTTTGTTGGCCGCTATGACAGAAACCACAGCTGCCAAGAAGAGGATCAGTAACAAAACCAGCGTAACTGAGCCAATAGAGGTGAATATATTCGAGATCAAGTCAGCTGTCAGCTAGAAGGATTGAAAAAATTATAAATATAGTTGAGATTAAGAAAATGGAAGTGCACACACAGTGGAGCTACCATGGTGGGAAAACATTGTAGAGTATGAATCTCAAAAATGACAAAAGATTTAGGATTTAAAAAGCATTGGGCTAGGAGAAAAAAATAATCAGCCTTCCAAATTTTGAACATTAGCTTTATGGAAAGTCAATCTATTACTAGTGACTAATTTATTTGACAATTTTCCTTCTATGTTCAAGTCATTTATGAGCATATCAGAGTTTATTTCTAAAATATCAATTATTCAGCCATTATCCACTTAATCAATTTTACTAATAATTCTTTCTCCCTAGCTCATTGACAATCAGTTAATTGTAAATCTTTAATACTTCAGATTTGAATTGTTTTATCTGGATGTCTATGAATATTTGTGTTTCCTTCACTGGGCAAATCAAGTTTCTAATGGGAACATTTGTAATTATAAATTCAAACTTTGCCTTCTGTAAATAGTTTTATAGAATATACCATTTTAGCAAGTGTTACTTCCAGTATTTTTTTTACTAGACTATTTGAAGGAGGTGAACTTATAAAAGGCAATGGCCATATCTGAAATGCATTTGGCAAATCAAATAATAAATAGTCATAGAAAATGTTTTGTAATATTCACTCGACTATCCTATCAAATATAAATGTTACTTCTTTGCCAATGGAGATTTGACCTGTGTCCTTAAAACCCTTTTCCGGAGAGCAATACATTGCAGAATGGATGTATGGAGTGAATTATTTTATGCATTATTTACAGAGGGCAATGGGAAATGTAATGACATCAGACGCAATCAAATACATCTGTCAGACGTAAGGTTTAGTTCAATGAAATTGTGTGTTAGTAGATGCAAATATTGTTTTTATCAAATAGACTCTGCAGAAAGGAAAGCCATTGAAATGATACGGACACACAGAAAAGTGGACACTATGGACAGTATGACCCTAGAAGGTATTGGTCTTCCAGGCAGATTTTACATCATCTTTTGACTGATATTAAAAGTGACAGTTGAACTGTTATAGATGAATATGTGCTTGAGGCTGAACTTTCATATCCAAAATGTTTAAAAAGAGAAAACAACAGGTCAGAACTCATTTCTGCAGTTAGATACAGTTTTATACAGAATATTTACTGCCCTCATTAAGTGAACTGCTTAACATTCCTGCCCATGGGGATACTGCACTCAAATCTGGAGTACCTTAAGAGGTCTCTGACTCCATAGAAGTGCCCAATACATGCAGCATGAACCTATACTCTTCAACATTTCTGCAATAGAACAGCAGCACTACAGGAAAATCATTAAGACAATCCTCTTTTTCTGATTAAAAAAAATCCAGTTATAATAATAAAGGCAAATTTGGCTCAGGGTCACCCCTCAGGGGGCTCTTGACCAGCTGAGTTTGCTTTCTTCCTTTGTCCTTGATCATTAAAATATGACTCCCAAGATTAAAAAAGTATTAATTTTTCTATAAAGAAATAACTTACTCCAGGTGATAAATCACCCTGTACTCAAGAACCTGAGACAAGGTGATGTTGGATATGGCAGGGCTATCGCATTGTGTCACAATGCGGATGTCATTTCATTAGCTGTTCAAGCAGCATTTTAAGAATATAGTTTTCTGTTTCTACTTGAGATTTTTTTAATTGAATCTATCAGCCAATTTTGAATAAAATCATCAAAATGGAAGGGACTTTATGTTTCATCTAATCTAATCCTCTGCACCGATATATAATTTCCTCATTTTAAATTATCCCAGATACATGTCCATCAAATCTGTTCTTGAAACACTCCAAGGGAGGATTTAAAAAAAATAAAACCTCCATAATGTTGTCTTTCCCCCTTATCATTGTGGGATCTGAAAATCTCTCAGTCATTAATGAATTGCTATCCTTACAATACCCCTGTGAGGTAAAGGATTATTATGTCCATTTTGGAGTCTGAAAACTGAGGATCAGCATAGATTAAGTTGTTTGCTGAAAGTCAGACAGAAAATCTGCGGCTGGACTTAGCCCCTTGGGTGGTAGTCCATGCCACTAACCAACCTGTTACTGTATTCTTGCGAGAGGTAGTTAGCCATGTTACTCTGAAGTCAGGGAGAAGACAGGGCAGAGTGACTCCTTAAGGGCATAGACGAAACAAGGGGCATACGTGCACGACCCTTTAAAGCGGGTTAAATGCTTTGGCACTGCTTTAATTGTGTTGGTGTTTGCAAGCATTAGCAATGTATTGCACATTAATTCCAGCCACTATAGCACGTTCAGCGGAATTTGCGTGCCTTAAATGATTTAAGGGAGCAGCAAATTAAAACACCTCCGAGGAGTTTGTTTGCTTCCCTACAGCTGTGGAGCAAAGCACCAAGCTCCATGCAGTTCAGGGACTGCATAGGTAGCCCATGCAGGCAGCCTGGTAGCAGCCCAGGAGGGCAGACTCCACCAAAGGAAAAAGTTATCTTTGTTTTTTTCCCCTGGAACCTGCCTTCCTGCATGAACTGTGTGGGGACCTGGTCCTTCCCTGCTCCCTGGGACCAATAGAGCTGGGTGCCTATGGGCGGGTGCCATTGGGGGGGGGGCACCACTGCTGCAGAGGTAAACACCAGCCCCCCTGCCCCTTGCAGCCGAGGGACCACTCTGCCCAGCAGCAGCTCACCCTCCCCTCCCAGCAGCCCAGCCCTGCCCCACCTCCAGCCATTTCCCTGCTTTCCTGCTGGTACACTGCTCCAGCACCACATGACTCCTGGCTGTATTGCCAGAGCACGGGGCCCACACTGGTACCCGAGGGCCAGGAGCAGGAGGGGTATGTGTGCGTGTGTGCACATGCATGCAGGGAAGGAGGAACAAAGTGTGTGTGTGTATGTGTTCATAGGGTGAGTCCCACATGCACACCCCCACCATGCACATGCACCCACACCTCCCTCACACTGCCATACACACACCCCCTCACACACCCCAGCCAACC